GTTATTCGACTATTTAAAACAGAGACTAGTGACAAAGATCCACAAAAGAAATCATACCTCGGGAAGACGGGGTGGGGGAGCCAGAGAGGGAAGCATGTCCTGCGCATATCACCCTTCATGTGCACAAGCTCCTGCCAAGGAAAAGTGTAGCGCTCTCCCCTGTTTATCAACTCCCTAATCAAGCGCGAGTCTAGCATCGACTCTGGTGGAGATGAGGGCACCACAAGCGATCGCCAATATGCTGACGAACGACACGCTCCCCCAAATACCAGACAAAGCGTCCGGTACCAACCAAAATGGTGCGGTGCGCTGAAAGACGCAAGGCCTCAGGTAAATCAGTCATCCCGGCCCAAGGACGATACTGGTAATCAATGGCAACCTGAAAACCATAGAAAGTTGGCATGAAACACCGGAAACAACATAGGAAGGAAAATACAGGCAACAAAACTAATTCTTCTGCCAACAGAAAAGGTGTCACGGTGTAGCAGCCCACGCAGTGCAGGGACGGACTCCACCCGTGACTCTCCTCGATCACGCCAACTGGCCCCGACAGGGAAATCATAAACCGCTCTACGACGCCGGTGAGGAGCCAAGCCTAGGAAGTACTCGTAGAACCATAGCTGCAATGAAAAGTAATCTTTGAGCACAAGAGTCGAACAAATTTAAAGTGAAACATGAAGAGGAAAAGATCATCACCTCTACGACTCTCCACAGACCATTGATAGTGATGGGAGACTCGCCGTTCAGCTGCCGACAGCCATGACGTAGCGGTAAGAGAAGGTCGGCGTATCCGAGGCTGGCCCAGCTATAGGATCCTATCTTATGGATCCAGACCAAATAAGGGAGGTGGCAAAGGAGTACGTGTGAACTCCTATCAGGAGAAAGAGTCATAGAGATCATAATCAGAATGAAGATCCGCACTCGCTGCTCAGCCGATGTCTCCTCCATGTCGAAGCCACAAGCTAGAACTGAAGCCATCTCCAATCGCCCGCTCCTAAGACCACCTCGAGACACTGGTCGGGTCCTGATATGCTGAATGATCGGACCTAACAAATCGGCTGCCTTAGCTGATCCCAAAGACAGATCAAACATCTGAGCTACGACCCGGTCAGTGAAGCGTAGCCCGCTAATCATACTAAAGTCCAGAGGGGTCACTGTCATCTCCCCCCAAGCAAAATGAAAAGTGTTGGTAGTATCCCAAAAATACTCCAACAATGCGCGAACGACCGTTGCACCGCAACCCCGGGGACTGCGAAACCCTACAAATGCTGTATAGAAATATATTAAACCAGCCGATTCCCATAGGGTGTTCGTAGCAGGATCCCTTGTAATGATCTGGTTAAGTCGAGGAATAAAATCTGGTGAACAATATGAACATCATTTCACAAAAAGTAGTACCCAAAAATGGTGATTTGCTCAATTCTCCATCAAATCATGCAATTTTTGTCTCAAATTTCTCACAAACACACATACATACATATACAAGTAAAATCATGGCAAGAATTTCAACATAAAACCTCAAAATCAAAAATCTCCAAATCGATTTATAAGGTTTTTTCATGAAATTACTCATTTGAAGCAAATTCGAGACAAAAATTAAGAGGAACTTACATAGATCCTTGTAGAGGTTCGAATATGAGGAGTATAGCAAAATTTTGGAGTGAATTTGTGAAAAAATCGAGCAACAAAATCTCGAAAAAACTCCAGCAACCAGCTCACTCACCGCGACACGGGAAGCAGCGCCGCGACACGGTTGCTATCTAACGTGTCGCGGAGCCTCTGAGACGACGACGGAGCTCCGGCGACACCAGCGGCCACTTCAAGCGACAGCAACAATAGTAAGCAGCAGCGAGCAACGATAAGTTTCAGCGAAAACAAAAAAATCAAAAAAAAGGAAAAGAGAAAGATTTTCGCCATGACACGGGAGGAAATCACCGTCCGACGGGAAAGCAGTTCCGGGCGACGGTGAAGCTCGGCGTGGCTCGGTGGTTTGAGCTGAAGGAAAAAGGAAAATGGAGAAAGAGGAATGCGGAAATGGCAAAATGGCAGAAAAAGCTTTAATTTAAAGCAAGGAAAAGCATCCCGTATAACGGTCATATATTGTGTGGTGCACATGCTTTGACTGGTCAAAGATGCCAATTGACTGGTTTTCAGCCAACAGGATTCCCGCGTCACGGGAGCTGCTCCGCGACACAAGAATGGAACCCGTCTGACGGCAAAGTCTTACCGTGTCACGGGATACTTCCACGTGGCACGGGGTTCAGAATATTCCTTTGCATCTTTTTTTCCAAGCTAGCTGCGAATATTTCTGGTATTTTAAATCAAAGCTGCACGATTTTATGCACAAATTGGACAGTTAATTCTTTGGTAAAATTATGCAGAAAATTCTAACTGATGGTTAGAGGGTACCAAAATTACTATTTTTCCCCTAGAAGCATTAAAGTCATTTTGTCGATATTTTAAACACCTGATATAGTCGGTTAATCAACTTGAAGGTGTGAATCATCTGCGGCCCACGTTCAGGGATAATCGAACCATCATACACTTGCAAATTTCAGCAATTACAGTAGTCGTCGGCTTTCCTCAAGCTTGGAAAACGTTATCGGTGGATTTTTCTTCAAGTATAGAAAACCGCCAGGTCGGCTTTCCTCATGCTTGGAAGGCGTTATTGGCGGATTTTTCTTCAAGTATAGAAAACCGCCAGGTCGGCTTTCCTCAAGCTTGGAAAGCGTTATCGGTGGATTTTTCTTTAAGTATAGAAAACCGCTAAGTGGGCTTTCCTCAAGCATGGAAAGCGTTATCGGTGGATTTTTCTTCAAGTATAGAAAACCGCCAAATTCCTTTGTCGGCTTTCCTCAAGGATGGAAGGAATTATCGGTGGACTTCTTCAAGCATAGAATGACACCAAATTCATTCGTCGTCTTTCCTCAGGAACGGAAAGTATTATCCGGTAGGTTTCTTCAGGCTTAGAAAACTACCAAACTCTTCAGTCGGCTTTCCTCAAGCATGGAAAAAGTTTCAACAAATGTCACTCGGTGGATTTCCTTCAAGCATAGGAAGCTTCCAAATTCGTTTGTCACCGATACACTGGTGCTAGATACGTATTCTATCCTTTTACCCTTTTATCTGTAGAACTAATATTTTTCTGCAGGTATCAGCGTATACAGAATGATTTAGGATCGCAGAACATCTTAAATCATTCTCCATCCCTATCGGCTACTTTGACTATCGTTTTCGAAACTGACGTTTCTACAAACTCAGTCAAAGTGGGGGCTTCTATAGACACCTAAAAATGTCTCCCCAAAACCAAACCCGATGATGAACAACCTTTCACCGCCACTATTGGTCGGGTTAAGTATTTAATCCCGACAGTGTTTAAAAAATCGTATTTGATTAAATTCATATTTTTGAACGGTCCATGGATTAGTCTTGATGTTTGGTAAAAGCATATTTTTTATTTCAGCCCAAACTTATTATTTAATTTTAGCCCAAACCCTTTTTTATTTTATTTTGGCCCAAACCTTTTGTTTATTTTTATTTTAGCCCAAATAATAATAAGTCAGAAAAGGCCCGAAATTATCAATCGGCACTTAAAATGCCGAATGAAATTAGGGTTAAAAATGTATTTAGACGGAAAAGTGAGCTGGAAATTCCCGCGCCACGGTAGACAGCCACCGTGTCATGGGAATCCTTCCCGTCTGACGGTGGGATTTCCCGTGACACGGGAAGTCTGCCGTGACACGGGACATTCCGTGTCTTTTCCGTGTAAACCCTTAACGCGTTTTCTTTCCCGTTTTCTGAAAATTTCCAGCGTCACACTAAAAATGTACCATGTCACGGGAAAGTTTGCCGTCTGACGGTTGGACTTCCCGTGTCACGGTACAGTTTGCCGCACGGGATAATTTTTTAGGGTTTTTATCATTTCAGGGTTTCGTGTGCTCCCTCAGCACATTTTCCCTATAAATACCCCCTCATTTCTGATGTACAGGGCATCAATTAATTCTTTAGTTCATTTCTCTCTCTTCTATGCTTTAGCCTAAACACTAGCCTACCCTTTTCATTTCAAAATTCCTTCTTCAAGTACTCAAACGGGTCCATACTTTACTCGTGGTTCTGTCTTTAAGCCAAGGCGTGAAAGGTAGAAATGTTTGAGGGTTTGGCCCCAAATCAATTCTACTTTATTTAATTTAATTTAATTGTTGTACTATTATTATTTCCTTGAAGTTACTAACTCGTTTCTTATTTTGTAGTTGCAAACAAACAGAATCAAAGTAAGAATCATGTTCCTTTTATTTCTATTATTTTTCTAACGATCTTATATTGATGGAACTATTGTTAAATTGCTTCCAATATTGATGTTATTCTATTATATTTATTATGATCACCATATTTGGACAACCGGTTTAGGATCCTTTTTAACCACGCCTAATAAGATAATTATATGTGTGCATTAATATTCAACCAATTTAGCTAAATAATAGTTTAGAGCGAATTGAATATTTTGTTTGTATGCCTTTGAGATCACAGGAATGATTTTCAATATAAGAATTGAGTAGAGGCCAATACGAGCGAATGTGACTCCATGACTCACTTCGTACCATCATCCCCGATCCTCTTTTCGTGGTTCCGAACCATATGGAGTTAGTAATCTCATGGATTATGAATGGGGTGTAACCTTCACGGGTCAATCGTTGTTGCCTGTCGTTGTCCCATTTCGTGGTTGCCTTATAATGATCCGTAAACGGTTTACAAGTTCCTTAAAACCTTGTTGGTGGCTCCCTACTTTATTTGTCCCTAATCGTTGTCCCTAATCGTAATGTCAATTCCTACTTCCTATGAGTGCCAAGCATATTCACAACATGATTTAACGTAGGCGCACTTTGAGCGACACCTACAGCAGGCGGATTTGATGGTACCCTGAGAAGGCGTCCATGAATCTTAGCAAGGCGTGCCCGCTGGTGGAGTCTACCAGCTGATCGATCCGTGGCAGCGCGTAACATTCACCACGGGCCATTTGCTTTCTTCACCATGACCACGTTGGCTAACCACTCTGGGTAGTCACAAGGTTCAATAAATCCTGCCTCCAAGAGTTTCTCCACCTCCTCCTGGATTACTTGATTTTTCTCTGTGAAGAACCTTCGCTTTTTCTGCCTAACTGGCTTAATGTCCTCCTTCACATTCAGCCGGTGTACCACGACTGCAGGGTCAATTCCGGGCATCTCATTAGCGAAAAATGCGAAAATATCCTTGTTCTTCCTCAGCAGCTCTACGAGGTGTACCCTACTCCATGATCAATGTCTTTCCTAATTTTCACCGTTCTCGAGGGGTCACCTTCTGTGAGCTCGACTGTGACATGCTCCCCACTGGGAAGTGGTCTAGCCATTTCCTCTTATGCAGGCTCGAAGTTTTCCATTGCTAACTTATGTTTATCCTTTTCCTTGTGATATTCTTCACGCCTCCTTTTCCTTCACTTCCTCTCAGCCTACTCAGGGGCCCTTCTCTCTAAGCTAGGATGATGTCTGGTTTTTGCGGGCTGCTTTAGGGCAGTTAAGTAACATTATTGAGCTGCCTTCTAACTTACCCTGAGCTTTGCTAACCGTCCCTCATTAGTTTTGTAGGCCATGGCAAGGTGATAGGTGGATACCACTCCGCATATCTTGTGGAAGAGTGGTCTTCCCATGATCACATTGTAGGGTGAAGGAGAGTTTATCACAAGGAATTCTGCTTGAACATCATGCCTTCTTGATCTGTCACCCACCCGGATTGAGAGCTCGATTATGCCTTCCAGGGTTAGCCCTGATCCATTAAACCCGGTGACTTTGTAACTCACCCTCTTCAAATCTTTCTTGTCCAACTTCAGCTCCTTGAACGCGCTGATGTATATGATGTTGGCTGAGCTGCCTCCATCTATCAATATCCTATCCACTTCATAGTTTGTAATTCTCATTGTCACTACCATTGGATCATCATGAGGCTAAATTATGCCCTTCTGGTCATACTCGTCAAACGTGGCTCGTTGCTGCGGGGGAAGAGGTGGCCATCTACGCTTCTCATTGTCGTTTATCTGATGTATCATCTCCCGCAGGTCAGCCCGTGCTCTACTAACTGTTCCTCTATGCACTGGACCCGCAGTGATCACATGTACCCTTCCTTCTGGTTTTCCATCTCTATCTTCGTCTCCAACGGGACCACTATGACCTCCTCTGCGGTCAGCGCGGCATGTTCAATCCTCGTCCCTCCTTCTGGGAGGGTCATCACGCTACTTAAACTGATTCAAGTACCCTCTCCTGACTAAATCTTCTATGTTATCCTTCAAGTGTGTGCATTCCACAGTGGTGTGGCCATGGTCTTTGTAGAAGTCACACCACTTGCTGGTATCACGGTTCCTATTAACCATCCTTGGGGTCTCTGCCACTTATCACCATCTTTATTCACACTGAATATATGAGACCTTGAGTAGGTTAGTGGGGTATATTGGTCGAACCTCCCAGGCCTTGGCCCTCTCTTTGGATCTGACCTTCTCACCCCCACTACTCTATCCGCTTCTCTGCGACTTTGCTCGGCCCTGCTCGGCTAGTCAGCCCTAGGTGTGTTCTCTTCCTGGGTGACCTCTATCCTCTTAACTAAGTCACCTGGTGCCTTCCTACTCAGCATTGCTCTTTCAGTCTCGTCTGCTTTGATGAACTCGTGCGCTTAACCTAGCGCTTCAACAAGTGTTTTGAGGCTCTTACGCCCCATATATGCTCTAAATGGTGAGTCTGGTAGTAAGCCACTCTGCATTGCTAGTAGTGCTACCTCTTAACTCATATTTGGGATGGTTGCTGCCTCTTTATTGAATATGGTGATAAACTCCCTCAGGGGCTCGTCTTTCCCTTGAACTAATGACATCAGCTCGGTTGCATTTTAGTTCGGTCTACCAGGGTTATGAAATGCTCCATGAACATTCTCTTCTACTGGTTATACGAGTATACGGAACATTTGGGAATAGCTTCATACCACTCCTCTGCAAGCCCCTCCAGGGTTGGCGGGAACGCCTTACACCAGACTGAGTCCGTCATAGTATAAAATACCATGTGGTTCTCAAAAGCTGACATGTGGCTTTTGGGTGTTTTGGTTCCGTTGTATCTGCAGCTCGGCATCTTTACCTTCTCCATTGGTTCTTCCAGAATCTTCCGGCAAAATGGGGAATCATATGGGACAACCTAGATTCGCGCTCGTTTGTCTCTCTCTAGGCTAGGTCCCCGCTCTGAAGCTGGCGACCTGCTGTGGGGGACCTGCTTCTCCGGGCTGACCTGAGCTGGAGTTATTTCCTCCACGCTCCATTCTCGATTCAGATTACAAGCTTCCAACTCCAATACCCTCTTCCTCAGTTGAATGAGCTCCTTTTTCTCAGGGGTGAGGGCAAGGGAAGCTGGCTTCTTTGTTGCGGGCTCCACGGTTGCCGTTGTCGGTGAAGGATTCGCCCCCTTACCCATATTGGTAAGGAACGCCGGCATTGCTGCCAGCTGCTCCTTACTGCACTTTGAGAGGTTCTCCAGGATGGCCTGCATATTTACGGGCTGCGGTTTTTGGGTTACAGGTGTTGAAACAATGATCTCATTGTTTGCGCCTGTTAACGACATTCTGTATTTGAAAATGGAACTCGATCCTGCCGGATCGACTGGTTTCGACGTCGCTTTAGCTGCAGCCGATGTCGATCCGATGGGGTTGGATTTCAGAGAGATGGTCGATTTGGGATTTTCGGTGGATCCTTTTGGATCGAGCGTTACTGAGGGTGTTTTTTGTGGTGTTTGGTTGGTCTCATTAGCTTTGGACATGGGTTTCAGTACAGTTTCTTCTCCGGCCATGGTGGTTAGTTAACTAGTCCCTAGCTCAGTTGGTGAACCTCAGGTTAGATGATCCTACTCCTCCTTCTAGCGCCAATTGTTCCAAGTATGGATCCAAGGGTTCTGCTGGGTGAGCTGGGTCCCGTCAACAACCTACACAAGGCACCGCACGTAAAATGCCCTCGGAGGTGGCTCGAGGAACCCCCCTCTGAAGCTTAAGTTAGAGAGTGTTTAGAGAGAGAAAGTGTACTTAGTGAGATGTAGAAAGTATCATAACTTGAGTGTCTAACCTCCTTTCCGTTGTACTTTACCCTCTATTTATAGGCGTACCATCTCCTTCGTGGAGATTTCAGCCTGGTCTAACCTGCGGGCTGACTCCACCGGGCTGATGAGCCCTCCTTAATTGCTTTCTCGGCAGTAAGTGCGCACCCTGGGGGCTGGGCGATAGTTCAGCGGGAGCTATCCTATAAAACAAGTATACATAACTTAGCCATAACAATTTGTTTCTTCATTGATGTTGCTTCAAATACATAAGTCTGCATGTTTCTTCACCGACACTTGTCAACCAAATGGCTCTTAGAAAGCTTCAATTATAGCATTGCCCATCCTAGGGGATCATTATGGGGTGATCCGAGCACGTACTGTTCAAAGACATGCCTAAAAATGAGACTATAATCAGAAAAATGTCATTTTCACCATACTAAAGGCCTCTTTTTGTAATTTCAGTGGACCGAATGCATCAAAGTTTTCCATGATTGCCTATCTAGAAAGGGCTCATTAACCTAAAGAGGTGTCAGAGACATCATCTCCCATATAAGGGGATCATTAGCCCTAAGGGGCGTGAGACACATCATCGCCAATCCAAGGGGCTCATTAGCCCTAAGGGGCGTCAGGCACATCATCGCCCATCCAAGGGGCTCATTATCCCGAAAGGGCACAAAACATATATTGCCCCACACCCAAGGGGCTTGGCCGCCCCAAACGGAGTCAAACATAACAATAAATACAATTATACATAAGTTAGACATAACAATTTGTTTCTTCATTGATGTTGCTTCAAATACATAAGTCTACATGTTTCTTCACAGACATTTATCAACAAGGAGGCTCTTAGAAAGCGTCAATTATATCATCGTCCATCCTAGGGGCTCATTATAGGGTGATCCGAGCAAGCACCGTTCAGAGACATGCCTAAAAATAAGACCGTCATCAGAAAAATGGCATTTTCACCATGCACTAGATGCCTTTTTCGCAATTTCGGTGGGCCAAATGCATTAAAGTTTTCCTTAATCGCCTATCTAGAAGGGGCTCATTAACCCTAAGGGGTGTTAGACACATCATCGCCCATCCAAGGGGCTCATAAGCCCTTAGGGGTGTCAGACACATCAACGCCCATCTAAGGGTGGAACTAGGTTGTTGAAACTAATCCTCCCACGGTCAAACTAAATTTATAAACACTTAACAAACCTATATACAAGTATAGAGGCAAGTGAAAGGTTGAACCCAAAGGAACGGTAATGTTCAAGCGCTCTCAATTATGCGCCTAGGCTAGGTCGAAGTCTAAGGATAAAACGAGAACACTAACAACTAACACACATAGAAACCAAACAAATAAAGCACTAGGAACGGGATCAACAAGCAATCATGAAAATTGTAGCAACTCGGGAACATTATGTAAATCAATGGTTGTGAAGACAAATGGAAAGCTCAATCAAAAGAGTCAACAAGCTATCTCCTAGAGGTCAAACTAGCGCCAACTACGAGAGACTCTAACTAGGAGCATCACTAATCAAGCTCAATTGACAATTGCAATTCCTAAATCAATTGTCTGTATCATTAGAAACTACAATTCAACCTAGCATAATTCTCAAGGCCTAATCGAATTACACACATGAAAACTTTAATCACTTTAATCTCAACAATTAATCAACACAATCCCCAAATTAAGCACAATCAATCAATCATACAAGTTTCACCTAATTCCTAGCAAACAACTACTCTAACATCATCATCTAATCAACTAACAACTAAAGAAATCAAGAATCAACAATGTATGAAGAACAACTACACTAATCAATAATCAAACATCTAAATCAAACCAAACAAATATGAAATCAAACAAAACAATAAATGAGATACAGTTTAGAAATGATCATTGATAATAGAGAAGATCTCCAACACAATTGTCACCATTGAATCTTCAATTTGTCAATCACCATTGAAATTCCTCACTCTCTCTCTCTAAAATCTACTCCTAAACTAACCCTAAAACTAGAGAGATAAGCTCTCAACTAAGCTAAAATTATGATCAAAATCTGCATGAAACGTATTCTAAACTTGCCCCAAAAATCGAGTTTACAAAGGTATTTATAGAGGCGCGAAAACAAAAACCGAGCAAACAAATACCCAGGAAGGTGCGCCCGCGCTTCAGGGGAGACGCGCCCATGCTGCAAGGATGGCGCGCCCGCGCTTGAGCCTTGCGCGCCCGCGCATCCCTTGGTTTTTTTGATCTTCTTGCGGCTTCTTGCGTTCGCTAAGGTCTTCGAATGAACGCACAATCTTGATGATGATGAACACTAAGTGAGGCAGTCCCAAAAGCACATGATTGTGAGGCAGCCCCAAAAGCACATGCTTGAGAGCGCAAGAGCTAGAACTTGGAGAATCCACTTCCTTGCATCTTGAGCTTTCCAATTTCCATGAGCTTGCTCCAAAAGCTTCCTCCACCTTAGTAAATCACCAGTATCAAGACCGGAACCTTGTATAATACCTACAACCATGAAAATAGAGCAAATAAAGAAGAAAAGACTAGGAAAACCATAGAAATGCACAAAAGCTACAAAATAAGAGGGGAAAGGTAAGACTAAGACCAAAAGCATAAAACTAAGCATTTATTAAATATGAAAGCCATGAAAAGAGGGTAAAAAAAACCTAAATTCACATCAAATGGGTGCCATTTATGACACCCATCAGTCATAACTTATGCCAATAAGTGTAATGATTCTCTTTTGCTCTCGTTTGTTCATGGAAAGGACCTCATCCAAGTTAAACTTGCTAACGTAGTTTGAGTGGGTAGTTTTTGAAGAAGAAGGATTCTTGTTCTACTTTCCTTTCCAGCCACTAT